CCCCAAAACCCCAAAACCCCAAAACCCCAAAACCCCAACATCCACTTGTAGCATTGACTAATACATTAAAGAGTATTTATTCCCAGTCTTCTTCTTCACTACATTATCTTCGTAATCTTTTTCACTGCTGCAGTCTTGCTCAGCAGGGGTCTCTTCTATAGTAGGAGTGAGGTGGGGGGAAGGGGGGAATGAGTGAGTGGAGGGGTTGGAGATTAGGGAATTTTTAGGGTTGAAGGTGAGAATTTTGGAAATTTCTTACTGATTTTAACATTTTTTCTTAGAGTTTTCCTTAATTTGTTCATAGGTAGTGAGAAATTTTTTGGGTAAGCAATTTCTGAAGGCAATTGCTTCTCTTCTTCCTCAAGATGAACATCTTCTTTCTCAAACTCCTTATCAGGCTTATCCTTGGCTGTAATTTTATCTTTGTCCAATAGGCAGGACACATAGAGCTTCAGTTCCATTAATGATCTAGATATTTTTACAGTATCAAGCTCCTCCTCCATTTCAGTTAAGATCTTGCTGTTTCGACAAATTTCTTTAATTCTCTTTATTCGAGCATCAAATTTGCTCTGTTTATCTTTATATAGTTGGCTTCTGTCATTAATTGGATCAACACTACCTTCAGGGTTAATTTTATTTCTCTGAACTCTAAGAGATGCAAAGCTCAGTCCTCTGAGCCTCCTTTCTCGAGCTATAATTTTAATTGTTAGGTCAGCAGAACTTTGAGCATTAAATATTATTTATCTATTGTAGAGCTGGGATGATTTTTATATTTAATCTAACTGTTGAACTTATCTATGGATGAGCAAAGTATTTAGAAATTTTAAGCTGAGTCTATTTTGATATAATAACAAATAAAGAGTTTCATTTTGATAGTTAAAGCTAAAAGCAGGGTTGAAGATTTTATAATCGAAAGTAGAAGATCATGATTTAGACCAGAAATGTCTAAATAGTATTTTCAGAACAAAAATGATCAGGATTGTGAGATCAATTATTTTCGAAGATTATATTTCCACTCATTTTTGGTCAACATTTTATAGAAAATTATTAAATTTTTCCTGTAAAAATGTAGTGTTTTGCATAGCAAAGTAGCTATCAGGACTGTATGTATAGTAATCTTTCTCTGCTGTGTCAAATGCTGAAAACACACCTTCAGCAAAGAATAGCCAGGGACCCTTCCTTCTAAATGGTGATGATATAAACTGGAACTGTATCACTTTTCTCAAATATTTTCAAGTAGAGTAGTACACCATCCTCGCCCAAGCTAAGCCTTCAAACCTTGTCAAGCCTTTCCAAGCTACAAGATTGTGATGCCTGCATACAGACTCACATGTGCTGGAGAGGAAGATAAGGGCAGGTGTCTACCCGCCATACTTAAACTTATATAAATCGATTTATATTTACACTCCCAAATCTTCAGCAGTAATCAGAATTTATTTAATGAATTAGATGCTTTAAAAATTATACCTTTATGATTGGACGTCTTTAAAGCTTAAAATCAATACTAAAACCCCGAATTTAAAAATGTATATATCTACAAAGTTCCATCAATAGAAATACTAGGAAACTTCTAATAGATATTCCTGTTTAAGGGGATAGTTTAATTTTTAAGCAAGCTGGCGATATTTCTGACTATACCACCAGAATAATCACACTCATTAATTTTCTGAATTTTTAAGCCTGTTCACAAAAAGTCAATATAAAGTTTTATTCGTTTGGTCTTGCTTCAGATGGTAAAGATAAATATGATTAAAGTTATAATTTAAGAACAACTGTTTGATTATTAAACTTTATCAACACTACTTTCGTTAAGCTATTTTATATGTATTTTCAAATCTAAGCAAATCTCATTGTCTTTCGTTCTATCTAATAAATATGTACCTTTGATTTTCACGGGGAACGTAAACCAACCTTTATGGTCGTTGACTTCTTTCTGAATATTTTTAATATCTCTGTTGTATAAGCATTTAGTGATTATTTTGATAAAGAAGGAACAGATCAGAGATAAGATCTCAAAAATACCGCCAATTCGACCTAGAACTTCAAGGATGCTAATAACACTTGACTCGTAGGTTTGAATAAAATCATTTGTATCGAATAAAACTACACCATAAGTACTACCATCGTGAGTTTTTTGAGAGAACGATGTTCATTCACCAATATTAAAAAATTCACCTTCTTTGCTTCCGGTGATAATTGAGTGCCAATCATTGACAATATATCTGTTCCTATCTAATAGTCAAGTTAACTCCGTTACAAATCCTTTAGAAAGAGAAATTGCAGCAGTATCATGCACATAAGTTTTTATTGGATCGAGAGGATCAGAATCATCAAAGTATTTACTAATGATAGTGAAATACAAATAATTATAATAATCAAGCCTTGACCCATAAGAACTTCATATATCGAATGGACAAGCAACAATCGTAAACAAGAAATTATAACTTCTCCCCTTCTTAATATCTCTTTTAATCATCTTCATTAAATCATTTCTTTTAAATCAATAAAAAGTATGGCCGTGCCTATTTTCAATACTAGGATCATTTGGATCTAATGGAAAATTTTCCTGAATGCACTCTTCAAGTGTAAAAGAAGAAGCTGATTCCCCATTAGATTCTTCTCCTTCAGGTATTCTTTCCAATAATGTAACATTGATCATTCCTAGGTTATTTTTAATAATATCAATAGATTCATTTCCTTCTCTCCCGATCCAAGAAACAGCTACATAAATTCCCTCATCATTAAGCATCATATCGATTGGGTCTTTCTCAAAGTTAGTTTTGATCTTATTTATATTTGTCTGTATCATTGTCCTATTAACCATAACAGTTATCAACTTTAGCCCATAAAACCCTCAGATTCCAAAGATAATCACTGAGAAGATAGCCCCAATCAAGGTGGAGTAGGTTTTCTGACCTTTGAAGTTCATAGTGAACTTTTGTGTGAAAATATCTGTGGATTTGAAACCTTGGTAAACCTTTTTGGACAAGTTCTTCATATTTTTCTTAATATTATAAACACTTCAATTTTTTTATTTTATATTGGGGTTTTGGGGTTTTGGGGTTTTGGGGTTTTGGGGTTTTGGGGTTTTGGGGTTTTGGGG